ACTGCCAACTCCAAATCATGTGTTAGATAATTAAGCTCGTGAAGCTTAAGCTTTCGAGACCCATATGAAATTGGTCGCTCCTCCTGCATCAAAACATATCTAAGACCTTGCAAAGAAGCATCTGTATAGACAAGATACTCTTTTCCGCTCTGTGGAGTAGACGGAACCGGTGCAGAAGTCAACTTAGTCTTTAGCTCATCAAAAGCTTTCTGACAGTAAATATAACAAAAACCTAAATTCAGTAAATATAACAAAAACCTGTATTATGCAAAAACAACTCAAAGATATATTTGTGGAAGCTTGATAAAGAAAGTTGAATAAAGTAAACAAAACAATTCTTAACACCAATTTTTAGGCGCTGTATGTGATACATTTTGGCCCATTTACTTGCATGTTTTATTCTCTTAATTATAGTTTATTTGTGATTTTACATTGTTTTATTGTTTTTATTTATTTCAGGACTTTAATTGTAAAATCAGTCAAGACCAGTGATTCTGAACTTTAAAAAATGACATTCCGAGGGACTGAGCAAGGTTGAAGATCCAAGTCTAAATTAAACTTAGAAAAGAGTCCAAGAGAAGCCACACATTGATAAAAATGAAAAAAAAAAAAATGAAAAATCTTTTTCCTAAAAGGAAACTTTCTCCAAAGTTGGTAACTTGAACCCATTTTGGTAATATGTCTGTATCTCTCTCCTCGAGTATCAAAATAGCTAAATTGACTTTAAATGGTGTTTATAGGCCGGGTGTGAATGGGTATTGGGCTTGTTGCACTTGTTCATGCTTTTGTTGCCGGTGGGCTGCTTGGGCTTATTTTTGTACTTAAAAATGGAGTGATTTCTATATCCATATATATATTCATGCATATGAACAGTAAGCAAAGTTAAACTAATGGCTTGCAATGTTTACAATATAACAACGTACTCAGCAAGATTGATCAAAAAACCCTAACCCAGATTCTCAAGTTTTCAAACAATATTTTTTCTTTAATCCAATCAATTAACAATTAAAATACTAAACCATAAATCATTACTTTTTTATTTTTACGAAAAAAAAAAAACTATGGCTCTCATATTAATTGTTAGGTTTTAATCTAGCTATATACCCTTGTAGAAATAAAAAAAATATTATAATAAAAAAAATTAAAAAGAGAAATTCATCAATCCTTCTGATTAAAGATTAAATCTTACAATACAGATTTTGCAGAAGATAGAATGCACTATTCATATGATGGCTAGCACTCTTTTGGATCTAAAAATTAAGTTTGTTTTTTTATTGTGCTCAATCACTCAACTTTTATGTCGATAGCAATTTTTCAATCATGTTTTACATAATCTTATTATAAGATATTATTTTCTTTAAATATTACATGTTTTGAAAAAGTTAATACTTTTATTTTATTTAAGATAGCATTATGATAAAAATAAACAAAGCAAATCATACTAGATTGAGCTGTCTTTTTCAGCTAATCTTCTTAAGATTGACCTGTCTGTTATCAAAGAGAAAAGTTGATTTTAGACACCGGCCATTTTGTCTCTAAAGCTATTTTACATTGTGATAAACGAGTTACTAATTAATTAATTATTGTGTCTGGGAATCGTTTTGAGCAGTATTTGGCAAAAAAATTTCTGGAAGAAGATTTTGAAGAAGCTAGTTACGGGAAGGTAAAATGATATTTTAATAAAAATTTTAAAAACTCAAATATACTATTAAAAATAATATAATAATATTCTAAGCGTGTCTCAATATAACACAGTTTAAATTCAAATGATCAAACCTAATCAAATCAGAATTCAAATCAAACAAGAGATTGAAATGATTCTTATACATCCAATAATTCCATTATCAAGGTTATTTTCTTCTTTATTTAATCAAACCAAAACCCTACACATCAAGATTGGTTTCTCCTTTATTTAATCAAATCAGAAATCCTATCAAACCAAAATTTGCACACACACGACATCCAATACCATTTCCATTCGATGGTGGCCTATATCCATAACAATATATGGTTGCATAGGCAAGCAACACGTCAAATCACCATCTCAATTATTTCAGATTTCGGGTGAAAATAGGATAATATATATGAAAAAGAAAAAATATATATTTAAGAAAACACATCTTTCAATCTTTAAATTTATATATATTTACCATAAATTGAATTAGGTTAACAGATGAACTTGTATATAAAAACAGTTAGTTTAATTTCCTCCAACATCTAGAATCCTTTTAATACAATTCAGTTTGGTATTAAAAAAAAAAAAAAAAATTTATTCTTGAGATTTATAGTAGATGTGTTACAAATTTTGTTCTCACATTGAAAAAAAAAAAAAAAAAAAAAAAAAAATTATTCTCTCACAAATTATACGATTATCATTCATTATGTGTTTATCTTTCATGCATGACATTCAGGATAATTATTTGACAGATTTTGTTCCATCATAAATTTCATTTATGAGGCTATTGTGACTTGGAATTTTAAGCATATGGTGAAAACAATTTATTTGACTCCTTGAGATAGAATTGCTGAGGAGGAATTGCTGACGAGGAGTTGATGCTTTGATAAAATCTTATTTTATTGTATTAATGATGAGATGAAATTGGTGATTTTTTTGAAGCATAATATACTGTTTTTATACATTACATATTGGATTAAATTTAATTATAATGAATGCTTATTTGGATGTGCTTAAATATATAAAAAAAAATAGGTTAAATTACTTAATGTTTCTAAACCGACTGCGAAAAAAAAAAAAATAAAAATAAAAATAAAAAATAAATTATTCTTCGTTTAAGTACAAAATTGTTATTTGAGCAGTATAAGAGCTTTCACCAAATGTTTTGTCAAACGAATAGAAAAATTCTTATGACACAAAAGCCAAATGAAAGTGATAACTTCTGTTTCTCTTTTTGTTCTACATATAAATAAAAGTAAAAGAAATACCAAGCGGGCCCTTATTCTGGCAGTACCAAACACTTCGACATGAGAATATGCATGGAAGATTCACATAGATAAAAGTATTTTGAAATTTGAAATTTTTTTTTTTCATTTTTTTTTATTTTTTATTTTTAGACATGGCTAAAACATATTGGGAACAATTAACATAAAAAAAATTAATAATAAAATTAATTACACTGACACTGCTTCAGGTTCGACCAAATATCACACTGAAATATCTTTTAAAAATTATTATCACTTAGGTCCAATTTTACTTTTCCGTCATTAACTCGTACTGTTAAAAACATATCAAAAAAAATATTTTACTCCTAATTTTTTTAATACCTTTTATTTCAAAGTATTAGCAATTTAAAAGGATGAAATTACCCTCATTAATTACTCTCACCTACCTACTTCTATCTCACTTGACAAGTCCATCAATAATCACTAAGCAGTGGCCAATGGCTGAACCAAAGAACTAAGGTGCCAGCAATTCAATCCGAACCTTGTCAGAAAGGTTCTGTCAACTATTGATTTGTTGCAATTAAGGACAAACTCATTATAAAAAATTATTTTATCTTTTCTCATTAAATTTGTCATTTCTCATTAAATTATTTTTATTATATTTCTATTATCTAAATATTAATTATACTATTTACCTTAATTTTATTTTATGATAAAAATGAAAAAAAAAAGAAGATTTGTAATTACTATTTTTTAAAATGATTAACTTATTATTAAAATTTTATTATTTATAATAAAACTTATTATATCCCGTTTAAACTTTTTTAGTGTAGAAAAATACTTCTTACCTTTTTTTCTTACAATATATTGATAAAAATTAATAAATTACTCAAATAAAAATACGTTCTTTTTCATGTAATATATTCATGGAAAATTAAGAAATTAATTAAATTGTTTTAAAAATTTCTACTTAAGATTTTTATTTAAACAATTAATTTAAAAAATTAAAGGTAACTTTATGCTAATTTAATGGAGAATATGTCATCAAATTAGTATGATTTTTTTTCATAATTTATTTCAATAAGAAAAATAGATTAAGTGTAATTCAATCAGAAATGAAATTATGGTCATTTAATGAAATATAATATAGGCATTGGGGCATTTTGTAGCAAAATATGATAATTTATGGGGTATTATGCACAAAATATAGTTTAGGGGTTATTTATAAATTCAAACATAATTCAGGAAATTTTTTTTTTTTTTTTGGATTTTAGCCTACCACATTTATCAAAGGTTATTCAAGTCATTTTAACTCTTTTTGTAAATAAAAAATGAGTGATAAAGGTAGTACCATCATTTTACATGCAAAAAGTGCTCTGACACCACTACAAAATAACATTTAGGGTGTGAGTGAAAAACGGACCAAAAGATTAAGATGTGAGTGATAATAATTTTCAAAAAGTTTTTCAATATGATATTTGGTCAAATATGAGAAGTATCAATGTAATTAATCCAAAAATATAATATGAAATAATTGACATAAAATTTTTTTAAAGCAAATGATAAACATCTATCTAAGCATCAAATTAATAAAAATTAATTATTATAAAATATTATATTATATAATTATTTTTTAAAACTACCTGCATCTCTTCTGTTTTTTTCTTTTTTTTTTTTTTTTTTTTTTTTTAATTTATAGTTTTACCGTGTTGATATGCTCTAATCCAGTGTTCTAATCCATACTTTCTTCCTCCTAGTCCATTTATGACAACAAAGTTTATGTATAAAATATTCCCACTTATCCATACTTTCTTCATCCTAGTCCATTTATGACAACAAAGTTTATGTATAAAATATTCCCACTTATCCATACTTTCTTCCTCCTAGTCCATTTATGACAACAAAGTTTATGTATAAAATATTCCCACTTATCCATACTTTCTTCCTCCTAGTCCATTTATGACAACAAAGTTTATGTATAAAATATTCCCACTTATCCGTACTTTCTTCCTCCTAGTCCATTTATGACAACAAAGTTTATGTATAAAATATTCCCACTTATCCATACTTTCTTCCTCCTAGTTAAGGAAATAGAATAAAAAAAAAAAAAACAAAAAAAAAACGTGTTTTCTTTGTATTTACTATATAAGTAGTAAACAACAACAATAATTGTCATGTAAACTTCAATCTCATGGCTTTTGCTACATTTACTTCAACCCATCTATGCATTCTCACTCCACACCAACATGGTAGGCAGCTTTTTTCGCAGAGAACATCTAGCAAGGTCTCTGCATCTCTCAATCCTACTAAACCTTCCACTTCTAATCAGACGGTTGTTAGGAGGTCAGGAAATTACAAACCTTCCATATGGGAACATCACTATCTCCAGTCAATCTCTAGTGTATTTACGGTACGTAATTATATATATGAATTATTTGTATATATGAAAAAGGATTCGTTGGCTTTCTTTAACATATTTGTATAGTTTGATATAGTAGATAGGAACTACACTTGAACCTTTTTTTTTTTTTTTTGATAAAAACACCATCGATTACACAGTCAGTAACACACAAAAATTAATTAAACTTGAACAATTAATGCAGGGAGAAGAATACACAAGGAGAGCCGACGAGCTGAAGGGAAGAGTGAAGATGATGCTTGAACAAGTGATGGATCCATTGGATCAACTTGAACTTATCGATGTTTTGCAGAGGCTTGGATTATCCTATCACTTTATGGATGAAATATCAAAAACATTGGAGATTATAAACTCCAGCAGTACCAGCTGGGATAATTGGAAAGATAATTTATATGCTACATCTCTTCAATTTAGAATCCTCCGACAACATGGGTTTCATGTCCCTCAAGGTACTAGAAGAGTTCCATGTTATGTTTTCATACATATTAAAATAAATAAAATAAAAATTACAAACACTTCATATCCTTCATAATTTTAAAAAATGAAACAATTTGAAAGTAACATATGTATTATAAAATCAAATGTATCATAAACTGATAATTGATTTCTACGTAGCACAATTATATTATGACAACAACACAATATATTTTATATTGTTGGGCCTTTTGCCATTAGTATGTTTGCCTTCCTTTTTGGATTGGCATAGTCCCTACAAGCATAATCAGTTGAGGGGACTATTGGAAATATTACTTTATTTATACCAAGAAATAATTATATTTATTTCTCTTATAATTTCAAAAATAATACTAACCTCTCCTGTCAATGTTGATTTTGACCCGAATGTGTTAAATGATTATTACTTTTATTAGTTTTCATACAGACAAAATAGTTTTTTCAAGCTTTCTATGGCTGGGCATTGTCGGGTTTAAAGTCAATTTTGAGTAGACATCAACAGACAAGAGTGTTAGATTTTATGACATGGGAGGTAAGTGTTACGTACTCCAACTGAACCAAAGAGTGTTAGATTTTATGACAGGGGAGGTACATGTTACATATTCCAACTGAACCAAATGGGAAGTCAATGTTAACGCCCACCCAAAGCAATGGTATAATTAAGTATAACTGAGGTCCTTGTTATTTAGGCAATCTTTTGGGAAGAGAAGTGTAATTTATTATCCCTTAATAGAATTGCTTAAACTTTTTTTTCTTTTTCTTTTTTTGTTTTGTTTTTTTTTTTTTTTTCTTTTTTTTTTTTTTTTTTTTTTTTGGGGTAAATTGCTTAAACTAGCTTTTAATATATATATATATATATATATAGAGAGAGAGAGAGAGAGAGAGAGAGAGAGAGAGAGAGAGAGTCCTAATCTCTTGTTCCCCATAGAGTAAGAAAATTAATCCACACTTTCTATATAGATCGTTAAATTAAATCCAACGGTTATTTAAATTTTTTTTTTTAAAATCATATGTTAACGCCCACCCAAAGCAATGGTATAATTAAGTATAACTGAGGTTCATGTTATTTAGGCAATCTATTGGGAAGAAAAGTGTAATTTATTATCCCTTAATAGAATTGCTTAAACATTTATTTATTTATTTTAGGTAAATTGCTTAAACTAACTTTTAAATATATACATATATGTGTGTGTGCGCGTATGCATATATATATATATATATATATATATATATATATATACACATATATATTTATTGTAATAGAGGGTGTCAATATATATATATATATATATATATATATATATATATATATATATATATCATACGGCTAGAATCCTGATAGGTCTGGGACTTCAATATTTTGAATTTAATTATTCAATTAACATATCTTGTGTAACTTCTTTGAATGCAGATGTTTTCAGTAGTTTCTTGGATGATATGGGAAAATTCGAGGGAGGCCTTTGTGGGGATACCAATGGAATGCTATGTCTGTATGAAGCTTCATACTTTTCCATTGAAGGTGAAAGAATCTTGGAGGAGGCCAAAGATTTCACAACCAGACATCTCAAAGAAAACCTTGAGCAGAACATGTACATGGATCAAAATCTTGCAATGCAAGTAGGTCACTCTTTGGAGCTTCCACTCCATTGGAGGACCCAAAGATTAGAGACAAGGTGGTTCATAGATATATATGAACAGAGACATGACATGAATCTTCTATTGCTTGAGCTTGCCAAATTGGATTTTAACATGGTGCAAGCAACACATTTGGAAGAAATGCAACATATGACAAGGTAATGAAGAGCATATACGCAATTGTTAATTTATTAATTACATATATATATATATATGTTGGAAATAGTGGCCTAGATACACACACAACACTATACTATTTGGAAGAGAATAGAAATGGAGGAAAATATTTTTTATTTCACTTCAATCTATTATTTGACTAGAGTACATGAATATATAGGCCTCACATATGTATGTGTAACCATTACATTTAAATGTCCATAACTCTCCTATCTCCCACTAACATAATCTTCAATATGCATAACTCCCACTAACATAGTATTTGTTAGGCTTAACTTTCATGACTCTTTATTTTACATAACCTTAACTCCCACTAAGACAATTTACTACCCACTAACATGCTAAATTAACACATACATCATGGATACAAAAATACTTGAAAATACTAAATACTAAAATCAAGTTTATTTTCAACACCCCCCTTTAAACTTGATTTTGTAACTTGAAAAACCTTCTTATTAATCTTGGGGGCTTGATCAAAAGTTCGATAGTTGATCTTCAATTCCACCTCCTTCAATAGCTTCAATCTTCTTGGCCATTTCCATTGATGTGTAGGGCTTGTGAAACTTCTTCAAATGCTTGTTTGATATCGTCACATAATCATATATCATCCTCTTTATACAAGCACACCATCGATCTTTTTTCTTCTTAAATTTTTTATGGATCTTCAACTTCACATATACTTCTTCTTTAGAGTCAAAAAATAATTCCATATTCACCCAACCTGTATCAATTACAAAATTCTCCAAACTATTTTTAAAAAAATAATATGAGAATTTCTTATCATCCTGGGCTTCAATCTCATACTTCTTTGGAACAACTTTCTTTAAGAGAAGTTCATCATTCTCCACAAAATAAGCATTATTTGATGAATATGAAGAAATAATAATTTCATCAAATAAGTCAAATATAACTTCTTTCAAGGTGGAATTTGTAACCATACCTGAAGATGTTAATTCACCAACTTGAACTTTTGCCTCTTCTTTAGCACTTCCTTCTTCTAAATCTTCTATTTTCACTTCATCCTCCTTCACTTTTTCAATCTCTTCTTTAATACCTTTTCTTACCTCTTCCTTATTCACCATTTTAAATTCTCCTTCAACTTTTGAATCTCCAAAATCTTCAACTTCTTTTGCATGATACACCTCTTCATTCTCCACAGCTTTGTCTTCAAGACTTTCATAATCATCTTTCGTAAACTCATCATTCTCAAAGCATTGTACCCAATACTCCATGGGTAGTGATTCACCTCTATGATTGGAAACGATGGTCTCGAGCATCTTCCAAATACAACTTGGAGTTTTGGACTCTCCAAAATACTCCCAAATTTCTTGATGTATTGCCTTTTGCAACACTACCAATGCCTTATCTTTTTTCTTTTCATGAAGCTTGTTGGACATGCCATTCTTTGGCTCTTCTCCAACAACATCCCACAAATCGCATGCTTTGAGGTATGAAGTCATGATGATTCTCATTCTTTTGTAATTAGAGAACATCATCTTTTCACTAAGAAAATACATTTTCTCCCCTTCATCATCATCAAGGAGAAACATGTTTTTCTCAAATGTTGAACCTTCTAGGATCAACTTCGTCTGGCCTTCAGGATCGTCTAGGCTCTGATATGAAATCTGGCTTTGAACATGAAATCTGGCTCTGATACCACTTTGTTGGAAATAGTGGCCTAGATACACACACAACACTATACTATTTGGAAGAGAATAGAAATGGAGGAAAATATTTTTTATTTCACTTCAATCTATTATTTGACTAGAGTACATGAATATATAGGCCTCACATATGTATGTGTAACCATTACATTTAAATGTCCATAACTCTCCTATCTCCCACTAACATAATCTTCAATATGCATAACTCCCACTAACATAGTATTTGTTAGGCTTAACTTTCATGACTCTTTATTTTACATAACCTTAACTCCCACTAAGACAATTTACTACCCACTAACATGCTAAATTAACACATACATCATGGATACAAAAATACTTGAAAATACTAAATACTAAAATCAAGTTTATTTTCAACAATATATATATAAACGCTGCCAAAAAAATTTATTTCCTAGATTCTTTTGTAGGTGGTGGAAAGATAGAGGCTTAACAGAAAAGTTAGGGTTTGCTAGGGATAGGTTGATGGAGAGTTACTTCTGGACTATAGGTGTATTTTCCGAACCTCGATCCGGATATGCAAGGAGGATGACTACAAAACTGATTTCCCTAATATCAGCTGTTGATGATATTTACGATGTTTATGGTACCATTGATGAATTGGAGCTATTTACAGATGCCATTGAGAGGTTAGTCATCTGGCACAAACTACGTATTTTCCATGTATGTTCCTTTGAAAGGTTTGTTTGTTTTGATGTTAACTATTTTTTATTTTTTATTTATTTATTTTTGGCGTGTGGTTGTCCTAAATATTTATATAAAAAAATATTAAAATTTAACAAAAATGACTTTACCCATCAATTTAAGGCAAGTTATATTACTTATCCCGCCCGATGACTCAACCTTACTCTTAACACAAACTTTTACCAAATATCAAATATATATACATATTACCTAAAAAAAAATTATTTTTGAAAAAATTATTTTACTTCGAAACAAACGGGTTCTAAGATTGTCACTTGGTTGATAGATTTTTTTTTCTTTCTTTTTTTCTCAGCAAGAAAATCATACTCTTATAGGGACTTAAATTCTCTAAAATAAATAAAATATCACTAGACAACAATGAATTGATTTAGTTACATTCTTATATTGAATACATCCAAGTTGCACTTCCTCCCCAGTGGGAGAGCCATTCGGAGAGGGCAATTAATTGCACCCACTCAACTTTTGTGGTATTTTATTTCTATATAAATAATCATTTGAATTTGTAAAACTGCCCCCCACTTCAAAAATAACAAAACAAACAATAGGCATAAACAATATTTGCACGTCACTCCACTTTAGGCATCAATATTATATACAATCTTATCAACAATCTTGAATTTGTAGAAGTCATGATATCAATTTTGGTAATTTTCAGGTGGGATATCAATGCTTTGGAGCAGCTTCCTTATTATATGAAGATATGCTTCATTGCTCTCTATAACTCCATTAATGAGATGGCCTATGATGTTCTTAAGGAAAACGGTTCTTATATTATTTCATATATGAAGAAAATGGTATTGCTTTAATCCTTTTTCCAAACATTTCATATTTTGCTATACTTACATATATGTAAACATTGTTATATATGATCTTGTTCAGTGTGCAGAACTGTGCAACGCCTACTTAATTGAGGCAAAGTGGTACCATAGTGGATATACACCAACCTTAAGCGAATACCTTGGCAATGCATGGATGTCAATTTCGGGTCCTCTAATACTGATTTATGCTTATTTTTTCATTACAAAGCTCGTAACAAAGGAAGCCTTGGAATACTTAGAGAAATATCCAAGCATACTCCGGCACACGTCGATTGCTTTTCGACTTGCAGATGACTTGGGAACTTCTTCGGTAAGCAATGCCATAGTACTCTTATAGTTGTTAGTCTTTGCAAGTTTTGATTAGTTTAAATAATCGACCTGTTAATTAAAGTTTGATTTTTGTTTCCCTTCGTTAAGGATGAGCTCAAAAGAGGGGATGTCCCGAAATCAATCCAATGTTACATGCACGAAACAGGTGCCTCCGAAGAAGAAGCTCGTGATTATATAAAGTGCTTGATAGGTGAACATTGGAAAAAAATGAATGAAGATCTATTTTATGTTTCTCCCGTGTCCAAGAGTTTCGTTACGGTTGCAATGAACCTTGCTAGGACGGCGCAGTACAACTACCAATATGGAGATGGTTTTGGCGTTGGAGACCGGGAGACTAAGGATCGCGTACTATCAATTCTTATTGAGCCTATAAAGGATTGAAACTTTTGGGACAATTTCGACGAACCTATTGACTAATTTCTGATCGGAAACTATTCTGTATTACAAATTAAGCACGATACAGATTGATTAATAACAATTTCAGGATTCTCTTTGCTTAAACAACTTTATGGAAACAAAATTGATCTAATGTTTCTTCGTGAATGCATGTTGATATATATCATATCTCACAAAGATGAATAAATGAACATGTTGAGGGAAGCTTAGAAAAATAATACTTCGTACTGGCTAGGGTGCAAATTATGGATTCAAAGTAATATATATATATATATATATATATATATATATATATATATATATCACATTGCAATTTTAACAAAAAAACTTCTCTTTTTTCAAGTATGTAATTTTAACAATTTGAAAGTGAATATTTACTCCAAAAAAAAAAAAAAAAAAAAATTGAAAGTGAATCTACCACTTGGAATCAATTTTCATTGTTGTAATCAATGCCCAGTAAGCAAATTATATGCTCTCTTAAAACACTTCATAATACAATGATTTTAATAAGAGTCCCGCTATTTAGCTAGACAAATAAAAACCTACCACTTTACCAAGTCTTTGTGGTTTTTTATGTATCAAATATAATGGAACCATATTAAAATATAACATAATTAACCTTTTTAGAAGCTTGTAGTCCCTTTTATTAGGTTTCATCTTAATATAGTATCTTTATTGGCAATTAAAGTTTCAATCACTATGTATATCAAATTGTGTATCTATTATATATATATATATATATATATATATATATATATATATCACATTACATCTTTATAAGAACTCGAGATACTACAAACATCTCCTATATATAAATTGATTGTGTATCCCTTTATATATAAAACATTGTGTCTTTGATCACTAATATACAGCAATTACTTTGATATACATTTGTTAATTGTTATAATGATTAAAGTTAATGATCTATCTAACTCTGAGAAACAAAAATAAGGGAGGGATTTTTTTTTTTTTTTTTAAAAAAAAAAATGCAAAGTATTGAAAAATTGTAAAAAAACATTATAATTATTGTTATAAATTTTGTACAAATCAAATTCTTATATTTGAGTACCATGAAAGTTGATGTGAAAACTAAAAAAATAAGGAAATGAGTTATGAAAAACTGAAAAATAAGGAAGGGAAAAGAGACGTATTTTATGAAAACAAATAAGGGTAGTAATGATGCCTATTTAAGTTGAAATTTTAGAATAACTACGTCATATTTTATTTATGTCGATTTTAAGTCTGGACATTAAAGTCGTCAAAAATATCATTTTCCTTCTAAAGTCGACAAAAATAAGGAAGGAAAAAGAGACATATTAGGACTTGTTCTCCACGGTAAAAGAAGATGAGAATACTTATTGAAGATCTTTCTCTTTCTCTCTCGGTTCTCCTACCTTGTGGCGGTTTTTAGGGTTTTGAAGATTGAAGATTTCAATTGGCGATCCATGGAGATGGCTTCTACACCAACAATGATGACATCCTTCCTCTCCATGAGTAGCTAAAGCATTCCTTAGGGAATTGATGTAACCCTAGTCCGAGTAGCATGATTTGATTATTCTTAACTTTGAGAACTTTTATATGTATATTAATTGCATGGCTGTGAGCAATTGACTTAGTATTACTAAGCATTTGGGTTTTTAATGAAAATAATTAATTTTTGATGAAATTGATCTCTTGTCCTAGAATCAATTTTGCTTTAATCAAATTCAAACTATTTTTATTGTGAGAGATTGACGACTAAGGGTTTCTCTTAACAGTTTAAGTATTGATCATGCAATAGTACTTAATTGAATATGTATGAATGAATGTTTTGACAAATCATGCTTAGGGAAAACGAGTTGTACTGCACCCTAGATTAGAGTAGTTAGGTAAACAATTCGTGTCAACCGAAGATGAGTAATGGCTCAATATTTATTTATATATGCCTTCTTAGTTGAATTAAAGTGTGCTTGTAGCTACTTGATTCTCGAATGTACATAACTTTTAATTTCTCTATAGTTGAAGCAATTGACCATGTTATGAGACTAGCAGTGAAATCAATCCCTAAGTTCTTCTCACTTTGATCTAAACTTTGTTAATTTAATTTTTTTTTTAATTGTAATTTAGAAATAAAAAATAACAAAATCATCTTTCTCTTGAATTAAATTAGGATTAATTTTATACTTGACAATCCACCACAGTCCTTAAAGTTCGACACCCTCAACATAGTCCCATCTTACAAGGATTCGTTCTATTGCGAGTGATTTTATCATTGATAATACACACATCAAAAAGTCGGTCCTGAAACTGAAAACTTCAAAATTGGTTCCGTAAAAATGCTCCTAACGACCATCAAGACCCATGTGGCATGTAAAACGAGGTACAAAAAATAAATAAAATAAACATGCCAAAAAATCCAAAAAAAATCCGTGACATTACAACTACTGATCACAATAATTGTGCCACTCCAACTTTTGGGTAATTACCCTAGAATTAGCAGTACTCGAACCTTATCCTTGAAATTGATTTCAATAAACTCGAAGTTGCTCACAATCTCATTGAACTCATTTAGATATTCACCAAACCTTCACCTTTGGCCATCTTCAAATTGGAAAACTTCTTAATCAAGTGTGTACCTTATTCGCTATAGATGGTTATTCATATATACTAGAAAGGGCAGCCTTGAGAGACACCATTGTCTTATCGTTCTTGATGTTAGATGCAATTAACTTTAACAATGTCAGATTAATGGTGACAAAAACCTTCCAATCAAGTAATTGTTACCCTGAATCCTTCATATTGCACAAGTATTGACTCAAGAGGGTGGTGAATAGAGTGTATGGCAAACAATGGCCAATTTTCGGTTTTAATTATTTTGCAAAATCAATAAACACCTTATAACAATTATGCAATAATCAAGAAATAAACTCAAACAATTAATAGCACAATTACAAAAGAGAAAAGGGAAGAGAAATGCAAACACTTGACACAACGATTTAGCGAGGTTCAGTAACTCCTACTCCTCGACTCAAGATCCCCCTTGAGACTTTCTCAATCTCATTATGGCACCTCCTTACGAGTGGAGAGCAAATCGGTATAAGAAGCACACCGCTTCTAATTCTTCTTGCTAAGAGAACAATCCTCTGGCAATACCAAAACACTGGTCTGGTTCAAAAGTACAATACCAAAGCACTCGTTTTGCCTCTGGCTATCTGTTCAAGAGGGATTGCATGCTCACCCAAGATAAGCCAGCTCTCCTATATAAAATGCAACCCAATGTTTGTATTCTATGCCTTAAAGATACAGAGACCCATAAGCACTTGTTTCACAAATGTGAGTACTCCAAAATTATATGGAGTGGCCTCCAACATAACTGTGGCTTCTACACCAACCCTAATTCAAGGAAGGAGTTTCTAATTTGGGCATCATCTAACTAGAAGCAAAAATTGAAAAAAAGTACGGTCATGATATGGGAGCTATCTTTGGCAAGCTATGTTTACCATATGTGGAAAGAGAGGAACAACAGAATGTTCAATGAAAAATTCTTGCCTCCTTTACATACTTTGAATGTAGTAGTGAATGTAATTATAATGAAGTTGTTCTCTGTCAAAATGTGTGAGTGCCCCTTTGCTGAAGAAATTGCAACCGAATGGAGCCTCCCATTATCTTTCTTTGATATAACCCATATGAATCATTTATTTACATTTCCAAACAATAACCACAACCTCCCTAGACCACCCACTCCATCCTCGTAGCCACCCTCACAGCCGCCCCCACAATACCCAATGCTATGATGCTTCTAAGTTGCTGATCTTTCATACCCATGCATTTGGTTAGGTTAGTATGTGCTTGAGTGGGGATATTTACTACTGGTTTCAATCTTTGTTTTGTATGGATTTATTTTCATATCATTGGGCCACTTTATGGACTTCGCTTGTCTTTTTTTTAGCCTAACCTCATTGGGTCGGCGGGGCATACCCCTTGTTATCCCTGTATTTATTTTCTTTTTTATGCAAATCCTTAATTATCGAAAAAAAAAAAAAAAAAAACAATCCTCTCTTAGACTTCTGCTGGATCACACCGATCCTTACAATTGATTATAGATAGAAATTTGTTGTATAAGAATATATCTCTCAAAGATTGATATGAAAATACAAGCTCACAACTAGAGTATAAATTAATACAAAATAAGCTCAATACTCTATGAATGATATGTATGAGAGGATGCAAAAGATGAAGAACAAAAGCTCTTTGATACTCAAGAAGGCTTCTCTATTTCTCTCTAATCCATACCAAACATTGTGTATTTATAACCCCTTTGACAAATATAGTCGTTAGGGGGGGCAATATGGTAAGTACCCATGAAGTTTTTGCACGTTGGGATACTTTCAACAGACCATCTAATCGATTACATTAGTAATCTAATCAAGTACATTAGATCTAGATCTCATTTGATCGATTACATGTATGATGTAGTCAGTTACATTAGATCTGAAACTACATCTGATCGAGTACATGTTTTATCTGATCGATTACTTAGACTTATCTGATGGATTAGATCAGGGAAATAGTCAGTTACGTGGTGAAATGCGATCCAAGAGTGTGCTTATTATTTTAAGCATCTGATCGAGTACTTGGTGGATCTAATCGGTTAGATAACAGAATAAAAAAAATAGTTTTTCTCTGTTTTGGCCATTTGATTGAGCATCTGATTGAGTACTTGGTGGATCTAATCGGTTAGATGACAGAATGAAAAAATAGATTTTCTTTGTTTTGGCCATTTGATCGAGCACATGGTGCCATGTGATCGATTACTTCAGCAGATACTTATTTTCTACTTTAAGTTTACAATGTAAATAAGGAAGTACCCCTCATTTGGATTCAATAAAAAATATAAGAAAATTAAAATCCAACTAAATCAAAATGTAGAAAATCAGTTTTACTACAAATTAGGGTTCCCTATAGTTTTTGTGAAACTTGATCCTCCGTGTAGGTCTATGTAGAATTGATGAAAAAATCCCATAAAATCAGTTTAGGCTATTTGAAATGTAAGGAGTAATTATCGGGAAAAATTATTTTGAAAATATCTTTATTTCAAAAAATCACATTTTCTATACTTAGCCAAAAAA